ATAAAAAATAACAAGCCTTTCTTCTCTTATATGGTATCAACCCCCCCCCCCCCAATCAGTTTTGTTCTCAACCAATTTCTTATCATGGCAAGCAATAGCAACACCATTCCTAATTCGTATAAACCGTCAAAACCATTTGTTCTGATTAACTTCTCCAACGTCATCAAACTTTCTCCTGCGAACTATATATCTTGGAAATTTCAAATCTAATCCATTCCCTTTGTCCATGACCTACTCAATTTCGTCTCCCACCGTTAGCCACCCGAAACCATCATAAAAGTTACTAAAATCGAATCCAACTCGGCCTACCAAACTTGGCAACACCAAGACAAACTCATCTTTGGAAGCCTTCTTGGTACCCTCTACCCAACCATAGTGCCTCTCATCGCTCTCGCCACCACCACTCATGATGCTTGGACCACCCTCACTGCTACCTTTGCCAACCCCTCCCATGGTCACCTTCTCCAAATTAAAGATTGTTTGGACACGCTCTCTAAAACCAACCAAACCATCACCGAACACATGCAAATCTATCAAAGAATGTACTGATGAACTATCTATCATGGGTAAACCCGTGGACAATGAGATATCATAGCCAAAGTTCTTAAAGGCCTTGATTATAATTCTTACAAACCTATCGTTGATGGCGTTCATGCTTATGACTCTCTTTTAACCTTTGAAGCCCTCCATGAGAAGCTTATCTATCATGAAATCACTCTAAAAAATCAAGCCCAACCATTTTTATTTCCCTCTTCTATTCATGTTGCCACCTATCGTCCTAATCAAAATCATTCCTGCTCTCGCAACAACACCACCCCAGGCCTCCTTCCCACCCCAAACACCACCAACAACAACCTTACCTCAAAAGCTTATCTCGGTAAGTGTCAATGGTGTCGTCATATGGGTCACATCGTTTCTCAATTCTCCATATTCAAACAACTCTTCCTCACATAGTTTTCCCTACATATCCCATTGGTCCAAACCCAACCCGAGTCTCTCGCCCCACCACCCTTAGTTATCAAGTTCCTCACTCGACTTCTCAAGCTAATGTCACTATCTTTGCTAATCCCTCTTCCTCTTCATGGTTTATGGATAACGGTGCTACTCACCATGTCACAAATGATTTGGCCAACTTAGCTTTACATGCCCCTTATGACGACTCTGATGATCTCATCATTAGTAATGGCTCCTCTTTGTTAATTTCTCATATTGGTTCTTTCTCTCTCTCTCTCTCTACCTCTCATAAATTATTTAAATTCTCTAACGTTTTATTTGTACCATCTATATCTTGAAACATTCTCTTTATTTTTCAATTATGCTTCGAAAATAATGCTCATGTTGAATTCTTACCTACTTCTTTCTATATTAAGTATCGCTCGATGGACCTTACTCTCCTCCAAGGGCCAACTAGCAGGGGCATCTATGAATGGAGCCCATCACCTCCTCTCGTATGCTCAAGCATGGTCATTCCTCCCACCAATTGGCATCACCGTTTAGGTCAACCCCTCTATTGATATTATTACAACCTTACAGAGTCAAGTACCATTAAGTTTTCCTTCATTACAATCTAGTTGTAGTTCATGCAATATTAAAAAAAGAATCACAAACTACCCTTATCCAAATCTACTCTTACTTATATCGTTCACTTACAACTATTATTTACGGACGTTTGGACGACTCTTATTCTTTCATATGACAATTTTAAATACTATGTCATTTTTTTGATCACTTTACAAAATATATTTGGTTATACCCCCTCAGACAAAAATTGGACACCTCATTCACTTTTCAACGCTTTCGTACTTTAGTTGAAAACTTTTTCAATCGTCCTATTATTCAATCATTCTTCGACATAGCGGGAATATCTCAAACTTACTCCTAATATCTTAACTAATAGCATCTCTTATCTCACCTCTACCGAACGACAACACCACCACATCGTTGAAACAGGTTTTGCATTTTTATCACATGCCAACCTCCCTCTTAATTTTTGGCCCCACACTTTTACAACGGGTACATATCTAATCAATCGTCTTCCTACTTCTACTCTCCACAATTTCTCTCCCTACCTTAAACTCTTCAATATGATCCTTAATTACACCAAACTTTTGAGCTTTGCTTGTGTTTGTTATCCGTGGTTAAAGTCATACAACACTCACAAAATGCAACCTAAATCCACCCCTTGTATATTTGTTGGTTACTATCCCACTCAAAGTGCCTATTATTGTCTCGGTCCAAGAACTAACAAAGTTTACACTCCTCGGCATGTCAAATTTTATTGAGTCATAATTTCCTTATTTTACTCTATGTTTCATACCATACTCGACCCAAATATAAATGCTCACGAGTGGTGCCCCGTTTTTCTACCTCTTATTTGCAACACCAATGTAACCCCAACTAACCCCCCAACACCACCTTCTAACATTCCCTTACCCACTGTAGCTAATAGTCCTCCATCACCTTCACATATCTTTATTAGAATGTCCTCTAATCCCCCCATCCCATCAAAGCACACGATCTTCCTCCATCACATCCTCACTTACCTCCTTTCCACCATCCTCACCTCTACTAACCCATACCATCATCATCCGTCTCACAGATAACATGATAAAACCCAATCCTAAATGCCTTAAAAATATCTCTCTCCCTCCTCCTTACGCACATACAAGTGCTACAAAAGCTCTCAAAGACCCAACATGATGTCAAGCCAAGAAGCTTGAACTTGATGCCCTTACCCATAACAACACCTGGCACCTTGTTCTTCCTCATGCTTCTAAAAATGTCGCTAGTTGTAAATGGATATTTTGCATCAAATATAATACATATAGCTTCATTGAACGATGCAAAGGCTGACTTGTTACAAAGGGCCTTCACCAATGCCTCGACATTAACTACTCCAAAACCTTTAGCCCAGTCTAAAACCTACCACTGTTCGCCTCATTCTATACCTAGTTGTTTGTCGTGGTTGGTCTCTCTGTCAAAATCAACATCAATAACACGTTTCTTCATGGCACTCTTTCCGAGAGAGTTTACATGTCTCAACCCACATGATTTATTGACAAAGAATATCTACCCATGGTAAACTCAACAAAGTTATTTACAGCCTTAAACAAGCCCCAAGTGATTGGTATATAGAACTTAAAACTTTTCTTTTATCTTCTGGTTTCCGAAACTCCATCTCCGATCCATCCCTATTTCTATATCAGCATGGTACTGCCATCATCTACCTTTTAGTCTACGTTGATGATATTATTGTCTCTAGCCCTTCTCTCTTTTGCCTAACTGATTTCATCTCTACTCTCGCTCATCGTTTCTCCCTCAAATATCTCAATCCCCTCTCCTATTGTCTAAATGTTGAAGTCGTCCCTAATACGGAATGTATTTTTCTTAACCAAACCAAATACGTTCATTACGTGCTATGACTTATAACATGCATGAATCAAAACTAGTATCCAATCCCCTAGATCTAAATCCGTCCCTCACTTATGCCATGAACCCACTCATTCCCAACCATATAGAATATTGAGCCATCATTGGATGCTTATAATACCTCTCTCTCACTCGTCCAAATGTTGCCTATATTATCAATTATCACAATATATGCATTTTTCCCCTATAATGATCATTGGATTTCTCTTAAGCAGTTGTTAGATACTTAAATGGTACTTCTCACTATGGTCTTTAGCTATACTGTAATTCTCCATTAAGACTCCATGCCTTTATATATGCAGATTGGGCCCGGGACACTGATAACTATATTTCTATCACCGGATGCTTAGTCTACCTTGGTTGTAATCCAATTTGATGGAACCACAAGAAGCAACAGGCCTTGGCTCATTCATTCACTGAGTTGGAATTTCAAGTAATTGCTGACACAACAGTTAAAGTAATTTGGCTACGTTCCTTTGCTTACCGAGCTTGGAATTATACCAAAACATCAACCTTCTATCTACCGTGACAATTTTGGTGTCACACAATACTCCGCCAATCTTTTCTTTCACCCCTGCTTGAAACACATCGCATTGGTCTTTCACTTTGTTCCTAACCAAGTACAACTTGGCATAATCCCAATTCAACATATTCTCGATGATGATCAGTTAGCAGATGTCCTCACCAAACCATTATCCAAATATCGCTTCTAGATGCTACTAGCCAAGATTTGATTTTCCCAAAAAGACGCCCATATTGAGGGGACGTGATAAGGATAAAATCTCTACCATGATTCATGCTTCAATCAAGGATAACAATCCTTGATTTTGATCATTTATATTATTGTTGCAATATCTCCTTTGTTTATAGTTATTCTTGTAAATATTTTTTATTAATTAGTCTTAATTGGATTGATTTGTTTCCCTCTCAATAAGTTATAAATGTATGTATAAATAACCTTCATTATGTTAATAAAAAATCAACAAACCTTTGTTCTCTTATAGTATCATATTAATTATTGTTGTTCACCAATGTGCATGTGATTCATGTCAATCATGGCGGGTTACATTTAAAATATTATAGACTTGGACCACCTTTCTATAAATGTTGAATAATATCTTATCTAGCTTTTTCGGAGAGTAATTTAGGGGTTGCATTTATTCTCTTGCATTTATTCTCACATAGTTGTTCATGTGTGTCTATGTATGTATATTCTATTGGCAAGAATTTACTAATTGATAAAAACATTAAAACAAAAAGTAATGAAAGTACCAAACATATAAACTACATAAAAACAGTTAAAAGTACAATTTTAAATCCTTTTCTTTTAAGAAAAAAAATCACTCCTCAACATGTACAAATTTATGATGCCAAAGCCTGAATTTCTAGTTTTTTCTTTCCCCAAAGTAGAGCATGATAAGCCAAGTTATATCTTTAAGATAACTTGATTCAAGTGTGACAAGATAAGAACATGCATGAGAATATTTCCTCAAACCACATGTGATCCTCCTTACCAAGATTGATACGAAGTTTGCACATAAACCATTATGATCTCTTTCTGTCTCATTTAGGTATCAGAACTATGGAGATTACTATGATGATCCCACAATTATAGAGGATGTAGGGCAAACTGCAGTTGGAGTTTGTAGTGAAGAATCATCATCTGAACCAACAACATTTAACAAATTTGTGCAAGAGTTTCTGTCAGATATTCGAATTGCAACTCCGAGAACATCTGACTTTTACGTCTCATCGACAAGGAAAAGCTCAAGTGGGAATGTGACGTTGTATGCGATTGCACAATGCGTTGAAAACACAACGCAGAGAATTTGCCAAAGCTGCTTGAATAGAGCATATAACAATTTATACGGTTGTCTCCCCCATACTGAAGGAAAAGCTATTGACTTGGGGTGTTTTATGAGATATTCTGACACACCATTTTTCAAAGATAACCAGACAACCAACATCATACCTTTTCTAAAAGAAGGTAAGGTCTTGGATTTGTTTAATTTCCTGGATATTTGAAAAGATATCTCTACTTTTTCCCCTTCTTAGTTCAAGTTTTATGTAGCATCTTACTTGGTACTTTGTTTCTATACAAACAACATAGTTGTCAAAACATTGGAGATATACTTCAGATGGTCTCAAATAGCCGAAACCTTCTTTGTTTCACTACACAAAATCGGGTTTATAGGATACCAAAAAATATTAAGTGTCCTCCTAGACATAAGACAATTACATACGATACATGCAAAAGCGTTGCAATAAGTTTATTGAACGTCTTTTAGCGTTTAAATAAGTTTTTAGAAAACATCATTTTATAAGACACTTTTTCAAATAATGTCATTTCAAAATAATTAGAAAAAAGTATCCTAAAAACTTGTTAAGACGTCCAAAAGTGTCGTATAAACTTATTGTAATGCTTTACATAAAACACAAATTTGTTTGATCTATAAGCTTATGTCCTTTATAACAGTCTATTAGGTTTTTGTCTTATGATCTTTCAACTATTAGTATTGTGGTTTTTCCAAATATGTTGGTTGTTTGAACACAAAGAGCCAAGTACAATGACTTCAAATGCTTACACCAAGAATTTTTACTACAACTTCAAGTTTGTATGTTGCAGGGAGTTCAAGGAAGGTAGGCATGCTGGCTGCCGTGACTGTATGTATAGGCATTTTCTTGCTTATCCTTGTTATATCACTATGGTATAGACTACATAGAAGGTCTAAATCACATGGAGAAGGTGAACATTTTACTAATATTGTAATCCATCAACTTGTGTGTGATTACAGATGGTAATAACTCTAATTGTTTGTATGTCTACCATGTGATATGTACAAATTGATGCATCAGAGATACAAGAGGCTGTAAATTACAGTTATAAAGATATACAATTAGCAACTGGTAACTTCAGTGAAGAATACAGAGTAGGGAAAGGAGGTTTCGGTGAAGTATACAAGGTAATGGTATAGAACTTTCATAATGGTTCAATGCATGAACATTGTGGAGTTTCGCTATCGAGTTTCGGGCTTGAGTTGCATTTTAAGGATTCTAACAATTAGAGCATTTCCAACAAATTTTGCTATAATTTCTTGAATACAAAGAAGTAACAGTAAAACATTCAAAAAGATTTACATTCAACTTTTTTTTGAAGTTTTCCTAATTTGGAGATAATATCTATCTTTTAATTTTTGGAATGAAGGGATTATATCTTTCAAGTCTTGTATCATCTAATAGGCAATTATAGACGAGAAGCATGTTGTGGCGGTGAAGAAACTTCTTGTACGGGATGGTAGAGCAAGAATAGAATTTGATAATGAAGTTAAGATGATGAGTTGTGTTCGTCATCGTAATCTAGTTCGTGTTCTTGGATGGTCCAGCGAGGGACCAGAGCTCCTTCTGGTCCTGGAATACATGCCGAAAGGTAGCCTTGATAAATTCTTATGGGGTAAGTTTATTGGTTACTCAAAGTCATTGATGATCATATTCTTGATTGTTTATGTTGCTAATGTTTCATAAGCTAATTAGAAGATCAATTCATGATGAACAGGTGAACAGAAGGGAAGTTTGAACTGGAAACAACGATATGATATGATATTTGGCATCGCGAGAGGTCTTGCGCATCTACACCACGAATTCCATGTCAAGATCATCCATAGGGATATAAAATCAGCAAACATCCTCCTTGACGATGATTTCCAACCAAAGATTGCAGATTTCGGATTGGCAAGGTTTCAACAAGAAGATCAATCCCATGTTAGCACTAAGTTTGCCGGGACCTTGTAAGTTTGGTTCACATTATGTTTTATTTGTTCTTCGTTTTGTTGGATTCAAATTCTTAAATTTGTCACAATATTTACATACATTCAACTGTAGAGGCTATACTGCACCAGAATATGCAACCCATGGACACTTATCAGAGAAAGTAGATACTTATAGCTTCGGCATCGTGACCCTTGAAATCATTAGTGGCCGAAGGTGTACTGATGTGAACTCGCAAAGACCCGACATGTATTACCTCCTTGAAGATGTGAGATATGTGCAACCATAAAAACATCTTTCTAATTAAGGAGCAATGACACAATTCGGGAATTAAATGGGTATTTAATTGATTACTTTTCTTATTTGCATGATAACAGGCATGGAAATTGTACGAGAACAACATGCATCCCAAGCTCATTGATGAGACTCTAGATTTGGAAGAAGGTGAAGAAGAACATGTCAAGAAGATCATTGAAATTGGTTTGACGTGCACCCAATCGCCTGTTGGCTTAAGACCGACCATGTCTGAAGTTGTGTTGTTGCTTTCCAATGGAAGATCCTTGGTGCGAAGGAAAGTGGGTAGCAAATCTACTCTAACTCCTGGATCGGATGATTAATCTAAGCTAATCAAAGACACTAAAACAAAGTTGAGTTTAATAGAATGTCTTATAGGACTTAAGTTTATATAATCAATTAATAAAACATTATATCTAAAAGTGTTACAATACGTAACAATTTTTTAGAGCATTTTTGTAAATAAAGTGTGGTATGTGCTACTTTATAGAATGTTATTTGAAAATATGTCCTATAAACACATGTGTTATAATAAGAAGAGTTTATAAAACAATTCTCAAAATTGTCCTATATAAAACAGTTAGTATGACTGTATGACACTTTATTAAAAAAACGTCTTAAAAAGTTGTATGACATTTAAAAGCGTCATATATACTTATTGTAACATTTTCAAATAAAACGTCCTATCAAATTAAATTCTATAAAACAGGTTCCATTTTAATTTTATATCCCATCATATAATATAATAATATAATTTTATTTATTTATTTAAAAGAATGAAAAAAAAATTATCAAAATACCTTGAGTTAATTATATTTAACAGAAAAACTGAACAACTGTTAATAGGAGGGACCAAAACCATTAGATTTTGCAATTTTATTTAACATTTTTTTCTCCATATTTACTTTTACTTCTTCTCCAATCTTTCATACAGAAGGTATTCAATTTAAAGAGACTTAATATGGCCACCTTCGGACCCAATCAAAAGCCCAACAAAAAGCAGATGAATAGATTAAGGTTTACTGCATTGAATTTTTCACATCTCAGAACATGAAAAAGTTGTAGATTTGTTTTACTTATCTTTATCGTACGAGATTAAATCACTCTAATTGGTGTTTTAATGAGTGAGATATGATTAAAATGAAACAATCTTGTAAATTTCTCCATCTTCCGCTCTAAAGTTCTATCTTCCGCTATAAAGTGTTCCAAACTTATCAAAATACAAAAACACATTAATATAATTTGCATGGTTTTATCATTTTAGTGCATTAATAAGCGGATGTTTGATGAGAAGATACACGAGTCCTACATATTATATATATATATATATAGAGAGAGAGAGAGAGATGGAATCATACGAGAATGATACATATTTAATAAAATAAGATAATGGTCAAATTACGTACAAAATCACATGTGATTTTACATTAACGGCCAAAAAAGTGTGAGTGACTCTATGGCTGTATGACAAGGTCGCATGAATCACATGTATTTGTACTTGATGTTAGTGTAAAATCACATGTGATTCAATAATTCTCTTATTTTCTTAAATAAGTATTATTCTCGTATGAACGCGGCTCTCTCTTTGTATATATATATATATATATATATATAGAGAGAGAGAGAGAGAGAGAGAGAGAGAGAGAGAGAGAGAGAGAGTGAGAGAGAGAAAGGGGTAAGATTTTTTGTTAACCAATTAAAATGTGTTAATTTTACAAACCTCAATGAACAAATAGAAAACAAGATACACTTTTGGTTGATGCACAAGATAAATTTATTTAATGAGAGTAAAAATGTAATTTTTTATTTGATATTTCTTTTAATACAAATTAATTTTCGGTTACATTTCTTAATTATTCCATGTCTTGCTATTATGAATATCTCATGCAAATTAATTGTCGGTTACATTTCTTAATTATTCCAAATAAATCAAATGTCGGTTACATTTATTAATTATACCTTATTAAACACTTGTTCATAGGTGAACCATCTAGTTTCAACATTTTAAAAAGTATTATGTTCATATGTGAACCTGATAACCACATACACGTAATAAAAACAAAGTATGTACACCAATTATTTAAAAAATTAAATAGTGTTCAGAAGTAAACACATGAACATCGTTCATAAACACAATTTGATGTATGTTCATAGATGAACCAGGTATCATTCCACATTTATTTCATATATGAACGAGACTATATAATGTATGTGTTTACTAAAATAAAACTTGGATGTTACAAATATCTTTACGACTTTTTCCATTTACACCATGTTCACACATGAACAACCATAAATATCAAATACTATTTTACACATGAACCATTAAACAAAAAAAGTTGTAGAAGAATCTCATGTCAGGGATCTTGCTGACGGTTTTGATTCGATGACGAGAGTAGTTACCGGATAGTTACATTGTTATTAATAGACAGTTATAAAACATCCTATCAAGGCATCTTCTGCTTTAGGTCAGCTCTATGGCTCCTTGAAATAAACAGTTTTATTAATGGACAACTATATTTTTTCCCCCAAAAATACCCTTTGTAAACATTGTTCACTTATGTTACCTTGTCTATCTTTGCAATTATTTACATTTTATGACATAAATGATCTCAGCCACTAATTTCAAAGATCAATGGATAAGATTGTTTGCAAAGTTAACACCATATATTGGGTTAACAAATGAACTCACCCCTATATATATAGGGGCCTAATCAAATGAGAACTAATTAGTTTGTGGTAACCGTGAGGTCCAATCTCAACCACAAATCAATAGATAAATTATTAAATCTATAATTTTGGTAATTTTGAATTAAAATTTTAATGCAAGGATATTTTAGGTATTTTAAAACTCTCATCTCTCCTCTCTTCTCTCTCCATCCCCCGTCCTCCGGCCACCATCCTCCGGTCACCGTCCTCCGGTGATACTACAATGGTATCACATTGCATCATATATGTGTTTGGGTATCACATTGAGGTCATTTGTATGGTCGATCGGAGATGTAACACAGTGGTACCCCAATTGGTACTACATTGGGTATCACATTGCATCTTGTATGTATTTTGGGCATCACAACGTGGATGATCAGTATGTATTCCTTATTAGATTATGGATTTGATTTTGTTTTTAAGGTTTGGGTTGGTATCACAATGGTATCACAGTGATACCACAATGGGTATCACAATGATTACTTGGTACCGGTCGGAATAATGTTCATCGGAGGTTGGAGATCCGAGGTCGGAGAGAGGTAAGAGGAGAGAGGAGTGTTTAGAAATATATAAAATGCCCTCTAATTATAATTTTAACTCCAATTACCAAAATTACTAATTTCCTAATTTATCCGTTGATATGTGGTTGAGATTGGATCTCACAGTTACCACAAACTAATCAGTTCTCCCTTGAATGAGCCCCTATATATATATATATATATATATATATATATATATATAGATAAATAGATAGATAGATAGATAGATAGTTGGGTTACGATGAAATAAGAGTTTTAATGAGAAAGTGAGAACAAAACCGTCATTATATATTTATATGCATTATTTACATTCAACTACCTATACTTACCTACTTTTATCATCGTGGCTTATACTTTAGAAAAATTCTAGCATGTGAAAATGATTAAATATGTGTAAAAGTTCTAAAAAGTGATGAAGGTAGATGAAGGTAAAATGAAGTTAGATCAAAAAGTCAACTTACTAATCTCAAGTTCATATATATGGGCAATCTTTTGCAAACTCTCTCAAGGTTACAAACCATGCAAACTAATCCTAGCCCTCCATTCTCTTAATCAGTGATTGTGAAATTTTCTAATTTCTTATTGATTTAAAAGATTAAGAAAAGGGTAGTTTTGGAATTTATTTTGATTGTTTTTAGTTTAAGTTTTAAATTTAAAAATCATAATTATTTCCATTTTTGTCACATGATTTTCTCATTCTATCTCTCATGATCTCTCTCTCAATCCATCTAGGTAAACCCGTAACCACTGACCATTCCAAGTAAACCTGCAACCACCGGCCATTACCGATAAACCCACAACCACCGACCACCTTTATCTCTTTCTATCTGTGTTGGTCCCAGCCGAATCTACAAGAGTTTATAAGTAACAGTTTGTAGAAGGGATGGGGGATGAATACAAACACAATAGCTTTCACTTTTAAAAATCCTTTATTGATAAAGAAGGTCAATACAGAATTTTACAGATTGTTTGTAGAAAAGATAAGATATAGAACTTATCTAAACAATCAAAGAAACACACAAGTTACAGATAGCAAGCAAGGAAAGACTTGCTGAAAGAAAAGGTTAAGAAGGTTTTGTGCACATCACTTGGTTAGAGTGGTTTAGAGAGAAGAAGACAAATGAGAAGGAAGAACCACGTGGTAAGCTTCAAGAAGTGAGCTTGTCTTTTGTTGCAGATATACAGGCTTTAGCCGTATATGAACAGTGTCTTTCACAAAATAGGTAAACACGCTTGGAGACAGTAGAGTGACTCTGTACAGTACCGTACTTTGGGAGGTATAGGTTTTTCCTTTGTGCGTAGAAGGACAAGACAAAAACTAATCTTGTTTAATAAGATTCATTTGATCGCTAACACTGGAATAACACTGAGATTTCTTTAGTGTTCGCTGAATCTTGAGTAGATTTCACATTCGTGTAGACAAGCTTGTTATCACTGAAAACTGCATCAGATCACGAACTTGCTAGTCTTTGTCTTCAGCTTTATCTTCGATATGGCTGAAGGTTCTGTGGTGTGAGTTTTGTCTTCCTAAAGAATACTTGTCTCTCTGAGAGAATTACAGTACATGTTCAGCGATCACTAAATAGACTCGGTGATGATTGTTGAAGCTGAATACATAGATAGTACACTTTGTAAGATAAAAAGGATCATCATCAAATTACTAAGAGAGGGGATTAACAATCTCCCCCTATTTGATGATGACAAAACAACATAAAAAATTGCTTAAGTACAACAGTAAGCAAAGGTACTAGTAAAATATTTGTCCTTTTTATCTGTTTTTGGATCTTATTCAATGATATAGTTTATTATGGAAATTTACTTTAATTTCAAAGGTTTACAAGAAAAGAATAAACTTACACAATATTAATAACTGAATACTAAAAACATATTCACTGACTAGAAAAATGTCAGCGAATGTAAGAAATAAATAAAACTCATAAGTACATGTCCCATTTACTCTTTTCAAGGATCTTTTTCAGTGAACCAATCATTTTATTGAAATATTTTACAAGAGAAAATATTACAACTGATTACAATTGGTTTTGGTAGGCTTGAAACATGAAAGCTAGACACTGAAAGAAAAGATAAAGAAATACAAGATTTACAAGAGTGAAAGGTTGACTATCTAGATTGCTGAAGTTGATGTAATCT